GCGCTGCTGTTGTGTTATTCGTTCAAAATATTAGAGAAATATAGTAGCTCAATGCGTAGAAGATCTTGATTAGGTTAAAACCGAAACCAAGCCATTCACACAGAACGCATATTCAGCACATTTTTACACGGACAAATATGACCCCTGCACTCGCATCTCATGCAAGAAATGCAAAGAAAGTCATGCAAAGTTAAAACAGTTTTAACGTTTAGAAAACGCGACGCGAATTTATGAAGGTTTATTTAATTTCACTGCGTCTCATATGTTTTTAAACGCAATCTGTGTGATTGGCGATTTGGCTCTTTGTATTAGGCTAAGCAATGCATAAACACAGTTGATATATTTTTTAGCTATATCGCTCAGCCCTATGTTATTGTACTATTAACATCAACATAGTGATTTCCTGTAAAGCAGATTTGAAGCAATGTGTATTGTGTAACGTTATACAAATAAATATGAATTGACTCAACTTTACATGTTCAGCGATTCTTTCTCTATATACTCCCAATGACCCTTTAGTTTGAAAAAAAAATACCTGATGTAGATCCCAGAGATTCCAGAGTACACCAGAGACATGTCAGGGTGAAATATTCTGCCTCCAGTCTGAATGGGAGGGTGTTTGGTGATTCTTGATAAGAGGAAATACCTCAGAATTGGCTGTGATCATATCCTGACAGGACTTCTCACCTCTGACTGTGGGACTGTTTCATTTTGGAATGTTTATTCTTTCCTCTTAACTTAGTTTACTAAATTAACTAGTTCCAACTGACATACAAAGTCAATTGCCTGAATTCCTAACCATAATGGAGTTGTACACTGTGGAAAAAAAGAGGTTTAGAATTTACCTTGAAACAATCTTCACTCAGAAATTGCTAGTAAATTGCACTAATAATGACAAAGAAAGAGTAACACACTGAATTAAACTTCTCTGAAGTTCCAAAATTGAAATAGTGTTTTCTTATAAAACGTTTAATTTACAACCTTGAATATTTTTTACAGTGTATTTGATTATAGAGACACTGCTTGCTTTGTGTGCAAATATTTTGCTCTTTTTATGGATATATTTAGGCATGTTAAAAATGCGAAGAAATAAAATGACATATGAGCAAGGGTAATGAGCCCTCTGTCTTGCAAGTCATTTTCTTTTGGTGTTTGGCATTTCTTCCACGTGGAGAAGAACTGTGCAGGAGGAAGTGGAGAACAGTAGTGTGACTCATCATTGTGGGTTTGATTTCAACAGATGTTATTCCAGACTCTGCTCTGCTCCGCATGCCTCCCAGCTTTAGTAATCTCCTTAGAGGCGAGCCATTGCTGAAAAACGGCCTGGATGTTTCTCTCTGTGTCTTTCTCTTGTCATGCTGTCTTTGGCTCGAGCACAGGAATTAGGATTCATCACACATTATTATATGGATCTCTGGAATACTTGATTCTGAATGGTCATGTGTGCCAATATGTACTTTTGTGTAAGCAATAATTCAGTGCTGTCCATACTTTTAGCATTTTATACTCTCTCATTTTTAGAACTCTCTCTCTCTCTGTCTGTCTGTCTGTCTCTGTCAGTCTGTCTGTCTGTCTATCTTAACTTAAAATAGAGAAAGACGTTGTATATACGTTGTATTGTATATAATATTATTGCAGTTTTCAACAGCTTTCAACTTTTTTTTACTTGTAAATAGAAGCTTTAACTTTTGAGTAGCTTTAAAATAAACAGGATACATTTGCATTTTGGATGCATTTTGTTGACTACACATTAATCCTTTATTTATAGAATAACTATATTATACGTGAGAAATCTGAAGTCATTAATGAATATGAAACTTCTAAATATGAAGTTGTAAATATGAAATACTTAGTTCCTTTGTATTTATGCAAAGTTACTGATCAAGAAAAGAAACTCTTTTGATGTTTGATTTCATTATTAATAACAAATCCCATCCTCTCCTCCTCAGTTCCCAGAATGTGGATTCTTTGGCTTGTACGATAAGATCTTGCTCTTCCGCCATGATCTGAACTCGGACAACATCCTCCAGCGGCTAACATCGGCAGAGGATATCCATGAGGGAGATCTGATTGAGGTCGTCCTGTCCGGTGAGTTGTGCTAGCTGTGGCTTTATTAATATATACACTCAACCCAATTTTGGGTCAAATATGGATTAACCCAACTGTTGGGTTAAAAAGTTAATTTAAAAATGTAACCAAAATTTAACCCAACAGTTGGGTTAGTCCATATTTGTCCCAAAATTGGGTTAAAACAACCCAGCATTTTTTAGAGTGTAGACAATGTATTGTACGGGAAAAAGTAAGACTTTAAAACAACACCATCACCATTACTGTTCTCATAAACTAACTCATGTATTTCATTAATTATACACAACCATTCAGCCATTGGGTTCAGTGAGTTTTTTGAAAGAAATGAATACTTATATTCAGCAAGAACGCATTAATTTGATCAAAATGAATAGTAATTTTCACAACAAAACATTCATTTTTAGTAATAATCATTAAGACATAATGTTTACAAAAGATTACTATTTCACATAAACTACTATTTTCACTTTTTTGTTTTTTTGTTTTTTTCAACTTCTATTTATCAAAATATCCTGGGAAAAAAATCACAGTTTCCACAAAAATTTAAGCAGAACAGCTGTTTTCAACACAGATAAAACTTTCTTGAGCAGCAAATCAGCATATTGAATGAGTTCTGAAGGATCATGTGACACTGTAGACTGGAGTAATGATGCTGAAAATTCAGCTGCGCATCACAGGAATAAATTGTGTTTTATAATATATTTAAATATAGTTTTTAAAAAATAATAATATTTCACATTATTGTAGTTTTACTGTATTTTTGATAAAATAAATGCAGCTTTGGTGAGCTTTCATTTAAAAATATGTTAAAAAATCTTACCAACCCCAAATTAGTGTATATGGACAGTATTGGGTAGATATTAACTAACAACATGTTTTATCAGAAGCAGCAGAATGGTGACATTTTTGTAACCTTGTAAAGGGTACTGTGAATAAAAATACCATTTAAAATTTCCGTTTAGGGATGACAAATGAAGAACCATGCAGCTACAATACAGGAGCTTCAGGTCATCTTGACTGTAGTTTATGTTCTTTAAATTATGCAGTCACTTATAGCTTTGCAGCTGGTTACACTGATGGCCGTATATTGCTAGCATCTCTGCAATACGGAACAGATCAGTTTAAGTCTGTAATTAGATTGTAGTCGGTTGTGGCACATGTGTACCAGATGGAGGGGCCCGTTAATCTAGTCATCGTGAACTTCAGGTGGTTTCCCTTCAAATGCCTGTTAACACAGGCAGGTCAATTCCCTTGAGGCCGCTATCACGATCAATTTTTCTAATTTCACCACATGCTCAATGTACAGAGCCATGTGTTGAAAGATTTATGGCTTAAGGGTTCTGTTTACTTGACAAGAACAAGTGACTTTGTCAGATACATTTATGTAATAAATATGTTGCATCCCGGACTATCCAGGTCTGCTGTCACTTAGTGCAGTAAGGCCCCAACACTTAGGGTTTGAGCTCATCTTTGTTCCCATGCAGAATGGTTTGTACATCCTGTGTAGGCCTTCTCTATGAAGACTCATCTTCCTGTCGTTGGTGTGTTCACATGGGAGCTGTACAGCACACCTGCTCTTCACATCCTCCTCACTCAATGGCAAACACACACATTCAAGTGTCCGGCACTGGAAATCAACACAATATGCATGACTGATTCCAAGCCAGTATTCTGGATTGTTCCGTCTAAAGTCCCAAGCGCTTTCCCAGAACTCAGATCCTTATTCATGAAAGTTTTCCTGAGGTTATTGAACCTGAACACATTGGGACTTTATTGTGCTCTGAACACATTGGGCCTCATTCATGAAACACGAGCAGAACAAATTTTTGTGTAAATGGTTCGTAAAGCCATTCTGACGTAAACTTTCGAATTCATGAAAATGTTCAAAATGTTAGTTGAGTCAGCGCTGATGGCCTCGTGGGCAGCGCGCCGACATGTGTAGCGCCTTTGCGCTTCGGGCGACCAGAGTTCGAGTCCCGGCTCGTGGACCTTTCCCGATCCCACCCCCCTCTCTCTCTCACCCACTTCGCTTCCTGTCGACCTACTGTCCTATCTAAATAAAAGGCATAAAATGCCAAAAATAAATATTAAAAAAAAAAAAAATGTTAGTTGATACGAAAGAAATGTACACCTGCTCCCTACCATGTCTAAATGGTGCGTAAAACGTTCTGTGTTCTTTTTGGCAAACTGATGACACTGAATTTTGATGCACTGCCATAATAATTACAAGTTCATTTGCCCTTGCCCTCTTTTTGAATTTTTGAATTTTTAATTAATTGATTAATTTATTTTATTTTATTTTTTTGCAGCTGAGTTGATAATTGTAAAACGCAGCGCTCGTCACTGTCACTATTTACCCAGCCATAAATAGAGGAGGGGCTGGAGTCGTGACAAATACCTAAGCATCCTACTTGTACAACGACTGCCTACAACGATGGATAGCAACTAAAGCGTCTCAGCTGAAAAAACGCTGTGCCACCAAAGCGTTCTCAAGCGCCACCAGCTGGTTGTTTTAAGAAGAGCACCTGACATTTTTTCAGCTGGCTAAATACTCTTTGGTGGTCACACACATTACTGAATATTTATTGTTAAGCATATGGCCTAGTCTTTTTTGCATTTATGCAATATACTGGAGCCAAACCTGAGAAAGTAGACCAGAATATTTCACTGCGTTCCTGGACACGTAATTTGCGTAGCTGTCATTTATAGGCGGGGATTATGCTAATTGTGAATGAGCCTGCACAAGCGCCCTATTACGAATAATTGGAATTCATTAACATACACATGTTTAACTATCAAATTGGACGTTTACGAAGAGTTTGTGAATCCGGAGGAGAGGAAGGTCTGTTTTGTGCGCAAATTACTCAGAATTTACTCATATATTTACGCAAGTTTCATGAATGAGGCCCATTGTGTGAAACCGATTAAAGGGATAGTTCATCCAAACATGAATATTTGCTGTTAATTTACTCACCCTCGGGCCATCCAAGATGTAGGTGACTTTTTTCCCCTGAGTGGAACAGTAAAGATTTTAAGATGAAACCATCTTGTCTTTGGTGATTCATAAAATGCAAGTCCATCTTTGAGAATTAAAAAAAAAAAAAAAAACATATCAAGGAACTCAAAATGTATACCCACGGCTCCTGACAATATAATGAGGTCTTACGAAGCAAAAAGATCGGTCTGAGGAAGAAGCTGAACATTATTTGCAACATTATTACCTGTAATCCAAAGCCTCAAGCTGCGGTCACACTAGACTTTGAGACGATGGTCACTCACACTAGACAATGGTCATATCAAGACCATTGCAGCATGCAAAACAATTTCGCATGCTGCAATGGTCATGATATGACGTCATGTGCAGCGTCTTATTAAAAACCTATATTCAACACGTAACAAATTACAATGCATCTAAAATGTAAAAACATACAATCTACTCCACTTACCTGCAGCACTGCAGTTTTAAATTTATGTTCTTTTAATTTAGATAGGAGGTCATGCTGTGACGCATTGATCTGCCGTTGGTCACACGGTATCACGTGATGTAAATTCGCAGGCCAGATTTCACCAAGCTTGAACTTTGGAATGCAGCGAAATGCGAAACTTTTCGCACGGGCCTGCGTTTCTGGTCTGACGCATTCGCATGCGTATGAATGGAAGTCAATGAAACGAAAAGTGCAGTGTGACCGCCCCTTCAGGCAAACGGTCTGGAGTGTACGGAGCCCCTAAAGGGACATGGTGGTGGAGAAAAATCTGATCGAGTGAAAAAATTTGGGGTGAGAGGAAAAAATATTTGTCAGATTTTTTGCGTTCTCTCGCAAAACTTTTGCGTTCCCTCGAGAAACTTTGTGTTCCCTCGCAAAACATTTGGTATTTGGGTTTTAGCCTATACCGTCTTCATCCATTAGCCTCCCTTAAGCGTTTTCTATAGCCTAACGGTTTTAAAGGGGCTCCGTAGGAGTGATGCTCGGTTCACGAATGAATCGTTCTTTTGAACCGGTTCGTTTTGTTGAACTAGATTTAACCAGTTCACCAAATCCGACTGAATCGTCTGAGCAGCACGGATCAAGTTACTTCATCAAAACTCACTTTCAGACGCCTGACATTCACTCTGACTCGAAATGAGCCAAAATACTAGCGAATATGATGCTGTGATGCTGGTTTTTGCCAACTCGTGCAACGCTCCAGTTCCTCCAACAGTCACTGAACTAAGGAAACAGTTTGGACTTTGACCAAAGAACTGATGAGCTGCTGGTCTGCGCATGTGTGAACCGAACACTTGAATGAAGGGGTGAAATAAAAGTTTTAATGGTTTCTCATGATTTATGCAAAAAGGTGAGCTTATGAAGACTAGTTTATTCACTTTATAGGCTTTAGACATGTAAAACTTCCACGTTTCACATCATTATTGTGTGCTTTAAAAAATAAAATTAAGTATACGTTGTATACGTTACAGGTTCATCATTGCATGATTGTGTAAACAAACTAGTGTAAACAAACACCACCAAACTGACTTGTAAACAATGTTAAAAACATTCAAAAATGTTCACCTTGGGCATAGGAGCCGATCCCGTGGAAAAACACGAGATAATCTCCGTTCATTTTAACCAATAAGAAATGGATTGCAGCTTTTACGACTTTATTCTCGCATTTATAGTTCGAGGCAGTTTTTGGCGTTATTTTAATGACAAATGTTGAGAGTGCATTATTGTCATATGAGAGGGCACCAGCACGAATCTCTTGGCTTGGCTCTCCCATATAGTGATCCAACCCAACCAGTGATCATGGCTCTGCGCTCTCTCAGAAATTATGTGTGCGCCCTCAAACTTTTTCCTGTGAATCAAAGTTTATCAAAAACAGCTTTTCCACAAGCTGAGGAGAAAAAAAACCTGAACAGAAATAAAACCTCAAATGTGAAGCGTCATGCAGGGAATTCTGGGAATGTCAATTTTTCACTGTAAATTATACAATGACTTGTTCCTTTTCTTTTCCAAAAACTG